AAGAATCTAGATTCTTTTGGTTTTATTTATTATAAAAGTCCAGTAGTTTTAAAAGAAAGTGAATGTTTTCAAATTTAATTTAGTTAAAGTTAGGTATACCTTCATATCTATATTTTATTTTTTATATTTTCTATTATGTAGTCAAATGTCACTAAAGTGCTCCCAAGTAATTAATAGTGTGGACATTTAAAGCTTTTTTATATTTCTGGTTTAAGAAATAGTTATTTTTTACTCGAATAAACTATCAGTCCCGAATAGAGGATCTCTTTTTAGGAACCTTAAATATGTAGTTAAGGACTGTCACCCCGTACTGCTGGGTAGTATGCGTTTACTTTTACGTTACAACAAGTGCGTCAATTATACTTATGTACTTGTGTGTGTGTGTGTGTATGGACTTTTCAATTGCATTTAAACTTTGGTTTTCTGCAAAAAAAAATCATACTCATCAATCAAATTGTTATTGTACATTGATCTATTTGTATTTATTTATATATTTTTTGCTGCAGCTGTCAATTGCAGTTATTTATTAATACATTTAAAACAATTTCATAAAATAGATAAATAAAATGACATTTAAAGGAATTTAATATGATTTAGTTAAAGGGTCAATGACATTTATAAATTATTTTCATAATAGAGAATTGCAATCATTTATTACAACAATTTGAAATATTTTTTTAACTTTCTTTTCTTTTTAAATATTTATTTTAGTTTACTTTTCTTTAACACCTTTTTAAGTCTTAATCATATAATAATTGTGTATTTTAAAAACGCTAGAATTATTATTGCAAATATTATAAATAATAAATATTTGTTTAAATAATATGTACTTTTATAACTAGACATTCATTGGCTATGAAATGCTATAATTAACCTTAACTAGAGTAACAAATAGACATTATTTGTTCATTAATAAATACTTTTATATTTTCATATACATATAATGATAGAAAATAAACATCTTTTAATTAAAGCAAATATGTTAAAAATATGTACGCAAATTTAATCATTAAAATAGTATCAATGATTAGATAACATATTTGAAATTTGAACTTTTTGTCATAAATATCGTAGAGATCGAAATAATGGGGGAAATTCTCAAATTGTTCACCCTCTGCAACAGAAAGAAACCTTCAAAAACGTGTTCGAAAAAGATAAAGTTTCTCCAGACTATTTCGGAAATCTCAATGCTTAAATGAAAGTCTTCCATCATACACCGTTTTATAACTAGAATCGCTTTTTATCTCTAAGGAACTATTAAAGGGACAAGTTTTCAATTAGATACTGGTCGTAGACCCTTAGGCCCTTATTAAATCTAGCCATGTCTGTCGGTTGAAAATACGTTAAGGTCTAAACATGAGGAGCTAGAGAGCTGAAATTTTTCACAAATATTCTCTTTTTATACAGTTTGTTACGTATGGACTATATCGATTCATATTTGACTCTTCAGAAAATTACTTTAACGTATATAACTATTAGTCCATTAGTCCAGGATTAGTCCATTATTGAACCTGCCCTCCATATAATAAAATTCCAGATATTTATTAAGAGAAATCCGACAAAATGTTATTTATAAATTAATCACTCTCTCGAATTCTGATGAATGCGCTCCATAATTGAACCAAGTCCCTAGATAATGCCCTCTCCCTATAAAAAGGCCTTTATTGGTACAGTTTTTATAAAATTGTACTTACTTTTACTTTTAAATACTGTATTGAAAGCTACATATATATATCCTGTTCAGATGGGACTTCTTGATCCGACAATTAGCTACCAAAATCTCATCGCTTATAGTCTTATATTCTATTCGATGTTATATAGACAGATGAATATCCCAGTTATTATTCTATTTGGTTTATTTTACCATTTCAAAGATATTTCTGATTAACAGAGACAATTTCGTAAAAGATCCTGCCTTAAAAATTGATTGAGCTAGTTCTGGAGAGATATACATATATCTGGTCAGATATATCTGTAATCTCTAAGAATTTTACCGTTTTCCAAACTAGAACTAGCTTCTATTGAGAAAGACACATACTACAAACTTACGTTTTGAAGTGCTACATGCAATCAAATTTATCGGGTGCGAAGGACCATCATATCTTAATTCATTTACAGATTTTTGGAATAATTTAATAGCCAAATTCTTCTTCAATTTGATGTATTTTACCAATTCAAAGATATTACTGATTAGCTGACTGATTAGACTTGATTAGACTTGATAGACCTACACCTAGTGAGATATACAATCTGATCAGATATATCTGTAATCTCTAAGAATTTTAACATTTTCAAAACTGGTGTATTAGTCGGCTCTAAAGTTAAGAAATTAGCTTTTTAGTTTAATCTGTTGAGAAGTGCATCATCTGAAAAGACACATACTATAAACCAACGTTTTGAAATGCTACATGCAACCACATTTATCAGGTGTGACCATCATATCTGAATTCATTGAAGATTTTTGAAATAACTTATAGACCTACATATATACAGACTTTTGTATTTTTCGAGATTAATACACAATTCTAGACTAACTTTTTTAAAACTTCAAACACCATTAATTATTTAATCAAATTGCTTTATTGTGCAAAATTTTTGTCACTTGCAATTAGTAAATGATTGATAATTATATTAAATAGTTTTGCATTTTTGCAATTAATTTGCAAAATAATGTGAATTGCTATAGCAATTCACAATTGACATATCTAATATAAGTTTATTGTCATGTAAATAATAAGTTTTAGATGTGACGCTATACCAAGCGATAATGAATTATATAAATACTTATTTTCTAACACTGTGTGCTTACAACGTATAGTCGGCAAGTGTAGAAGCATAGTCTTCCAGTGGGAAAGTTTGTGCTGAATACATTTTTATACATTAGAAGCGATTATCCAAAATAAGATTTCAGTGATTATGAACCGATCATAATAGACTTTAGTATAACGATTTATTTATTTATTATATTAGGGCCGAATCGATTAATGAGTGTAAAATTAAATTTCGGCTTAATATTTGGCATAAAGTCCACAATTGATCGACCCTTAATGCTATTACGAAGATTATTTATATCTAATTTGATCATAATATTTATAGAATGATTTTCTAAAGAAGGCCCTCTATGTAAACTTGAGTCCATTAAGGACCAAATACTACAAACAATACATGCACGCATATTGCTAAGTCGAATCAGCAAGAGGTTCTGCATCGTAGGGTTGTTCAAACCAATACTTTTATGAGTTATAGTTTTTATAAAAAATACTAATTAAAAACTCTGCCTAATAACTAAAATCGTGTAAAATTAGTTTAAGTTTTATAATCAGTTCCCCCCAGTATAGTGGCGCTTTCACCTAGCAAGGTTGTGTGCTTATCGTACAATATTTATCATTAGGCTCTTAACGCCCCATATGATAAATAATAAAACGTACTTAAAAGTTTTAAGATCTTGTAGTTAGTACTCGAATATTACACATTTCTAATGTTCAAATGTATTGTTAAATAAATACAATCCATGAGCACTAACGTTAAGTACCCATAACGGGGACTTTGGGTACTTTAGTTTTGCTATCAATGATTAAGTAAATATTTATGTATTGATTTTTATTGATTTGGTAAACAATTTAAAGCGAACAATGTATATTTAATTATAAGTACATATGTAAAGTTTACATGCATTATGCATTCAGCTATTGGAAATTTTAACCCATTTTGGGGAGGTATGTCTGAAGTTATTATAATTCGAAGAACAGTTTCATTGTGAGTTCATTTCTTGTATAAATTAATTGAATTGGTAAGGTAAATTTCAAATGAAAATTAGAGCAAATCGTTCTATATCTAAAAAATCATTTAACTAATATCTGAATCTGATCGATTATTAAAGCTACAACCGGTCCATAAGCCTATAGGACTAGTTACGATTCATTTTCATTCATTATTAGATTCATCAGTAATGGGTACATAAATTTTCATACATACATATTAAGCTTTCGTTTTAAGCAGATAATTAAGTTCTTTTTGGAGCATATTTTCAAAAGCTTGGACCGAAAGCTTTCCTATAAGGCTGCTGTCAAGATATCCGCATTTTTACTCTGCAGCTGTTTTGAACAGCTCCAAACTGCTTAAATTTTTGTTGTTTTTAAAAACAACATAATTTCTCATTCTTTGCCGAAGCTTTCCCCCCACCATTCATCACCACCCAGTATAGGTTAAGAGCCGTCATTGCATTCTTGCCACATGAGTTATGGTCTTTTGGTCTGTCGCAGCTGTTTCTATAACCTCTCATTATGAAGTTACATTTTTATTTTGTTGTTTATTTCATTTGTTATTGTTTTATGTGGAGAACATAAAGTGGTCTTAAGATTAAGCAAACTAAAACTGAACAGTAAACAGACAAGTCAAACAGGTAGACAACATGAAAATTTTCCCATTGACAGTAGATAACGGACTGTTAAATTGTTCAGAAGTGGAAAATTAATTTGACAAATTCGTCTCTTAAGTGAAATTTTGTAATGGTGGAGACAAAAGAGAGGTAAATGGGAGATTTCTGATGAAATTTGGACCGTCCGAATTTGGTGGCTTTTAACTGCTCTTTTAAGACTGATTCTCAACCTCGTTTCTGACTAATTTGTGAAATCTAATGGATGTAGGGTGGAGGCTAAAGAGAGAGATAAACGGGAGATTTTTAAAGAAGATAGGTCTGGAATCTCTTTATTTCTCAATTACCAGATAGTCCCATTTTGGCAAAGTTATACTAATCTTTTAAGACTGATCCTGTTCCGTATTTTTAAACAAATATCATCACATTCTGACTAATTTGTATAAAAAAACAGGTTTTGATCGATCCTGTTAACTAAACGACACGATCAGCTTCAAAAGTTTAAAGAGGGACTAGAAAAATATTTAATAAAACTTATTTTGAAATCAAAATTTTCATACACTATATACTTAATCTCTGGAATCGGCTTTATTTAATCGTTCTTCTCTAATTTCTTTTCTTACAGTAGCTGTTCCAACTTTTGGAAAAAATACAAAATGAAGACTGCCACTTTGGATAAAATTTGCTGCTTTTTAGCAGAACTTATCGGCACTGGCCTATTGGTGTTCTTGGGTTGCATGGGTTGCGTTAAAACCGATGTTTTCGCCAACAATCACTTGCAAATGTGTTTGAACTTTGGTCTCGTCATTTTGGTCGTTATCCAGTGTTTCGGTTGTGTTTCGGGTTCTCATTTAAATCCTGCCGTTACAATTGCTGCCTTCATCTATGAAATGGTCTCAGCACCCATGGCTATTGTCTATATGTGCGGTCAAATGTTGGGCGGTTTCATTGGTTATGGCCTTTTGAAGGTGGTATTGCCCGAATCGACTATTAAGATGCCAGAAGCTGCTCACAATTTGTGTGTGACTGTGCCCCATCCCGATATTACTCCCATGCAAGGTTTTGCCATTGAATTCATTATCACCGCCATTTTGATTTTGGTATGCTGTGGTGTCTGGGATCCTCGTAATGCTAAATTCCATGATTCCGTACCAATTCGTTTTGGTTTGGCTATTGCCTGTTTGGCCATCACTGCTGTAAGTTAAATATTAACAATTTTTTTTAAACATCTAACTAATTTCTTTCGTTTCTCTTTCCTAGGGTCCCTTCACTGGTGCCAGTATGAATCCTGCTCGTTCTTTCGCCCCCGCTTTGTGGAACTATGATTTCGAACACCACTGGGTTTACTGGTTGGGTCCCATGTTGGGCGGTGCCGTTGCTGCTTATGGCTACAAAGTTGTCTTCAGACGTGAAGTTAATGAAGAAGCTGTCCATCATAAATTGCGCGCCATGGAAGATGTTCCTTTGTCTTAAATCATTATTTAAGAATTTCTTTATATTTTCAATCAAACTACCTGGTGGGTTTATTATTTAGCCGCCAGTGTTGCCATATTATTCAATTTATTTAGGCTGAATTGAATATTTTTCATCAGTTCTTTTTTCTTAAAAAAGATATTCAAACCTTAAAGTTTGTTTAGTTATTAAACAAAAACATTAGCAAAAGCCCCCTCCCCCCACACAAACATTTAGTTTAAGCTGTCATCTGTGCAATTATGTTCTCTTTTTTAGTTCTGTTACTCTCTTTTATTTTTCTCAAATGTTAAATTTTAATTAAATTATTTTGTATAAATATTTCGTTAATGTTTATGACAAAAAAATATGTACAATTTAAGTTCGTAAGTAATTGCATTTTCTTTTTGAAAAAAAAGTTAAACATTTTGTTTAAATTAATTAAGTACTAATAAAATTAAATAAATAAAATATTGTTATTTAAAACAGATGTTAAACCTTTGGTTTACAAATTGTGTTTAACTTGTTTAAATGAACAAAAATTTTCAAAATTTTGGACACCCAGGGGACAAGGTGTATCCTGGAAAACGAAAAAGTACATTAACTTAGAGCTCTTAGTGTTTAATTTTCTTGGTTTAATATTATAAAAAATTCAAAAGGTACTCTCTGAAGGCGGAAAAAGTACAAAATAGTTCCCTTTTATAGATTCTCATTTACTCCGGGTATTATATGCTACTTCATGTTTATAGTTCAATATTATACAATATTTCAAAAAATACCTTTTGAAGAACGAAAAAGTACCAAAAAGTCCCTTTTTAGGTTCTCACTTACTACAGGCTCTTCATGTTTAATTTCATATTTCTGGTTCTTTTGAAGAACGAAAAAGTACCAAAAAGTCCCTTTTTAGGTTCTCACTTACTACAGGCTCTTCATGTTTAATTTCATATTTCTGGTTCAATATTATAGAAAATTCAAAAGGTACCTTTGGTAGAACGAAAAAGTACCTAAAAGTCCCCATTAATATGTTCTCACTTAATCCGGGCTTTACATTTTTAATTTCATGTTTCTAGGTTCAATATTATACAAAAATTCAAAAAGGACCTTTTGAAGAACGAAAAAGTAACAAAAAGTCCTTTTTATAGGTTCTCACTTAATTCGGGTTCTAATGTTTAATTACACGTTTTAGGTAAAATAGTTTACAAAAATTCAAATCTCAATTTGTGGTGAAATTTTCATAGGTTGTATCGGATTTTTGCTCATATCTCCGTTATTTATGGATCGATTTTGCTGATTTTAAACAAAACAAAAAACTTCTCGAAAGCATGTCTGACAGAATTGGTGAAGATTTGGGTCCCGAAGGTCTTCAGAAAATTGTTTTCAACAAACATACAGACGCACACATATACAGACAGATGGACATAGCATAATCTACGGACATAGCTATCTATAAGGACTCGGAATGTATATACTTTATGGGATCGGAAATTTAATGTATACAAATTACTAACGGAATGATAAACGTATTTATACCTTTTCACGTCCCCGGAGGCATGTTACCTTGATGAAAGACCACATCTTGGTGTGATTGCAATCCCGGGGAAAAGAGGTATAGGTGTTCATGTAACGCCCTTCGATATTTATACCCTTCTCGCGTAGGTGTAGGGTATGAAAAGTTTATTTTAAATAATGAGAGTTAATCGAAACAACTCACTCCACTGTGTAAGTGCTTAAAGAAAACCAAACATTATTCAATAAATTGAGAGAATAAGGCATACTTTTAGGCTGTTTTTAATTTAGCTGCTTGGAAGTAATAGTTCATATATGTTGAGGTGCTAGAAATTGATCGTGTGCACAGTGGGAAACAATTTTTTTAAACACTTTTTCTTTTAAATTCTATAAATATTTTCTATCATGTTAATAAGTATGTTGTATACTTTAAAATGCATTTTCTTATCAATTTATAATTTTAATATTTTGGTTTAGATGACATTCGCTTTATTTATAAAACAATCATTTGCAAATTTACATTTTAAGGTTTGTTAGAACAGATGTAATACGTACATAGATTAGATTATAGAAATAATGTAAGATGTGTATTGGAAGCTAATAAACGTGATATGAATTGTTTTTATATAGAGCCTATAAAAAAGGGGTGTTATAGGTTTATCATGTTATATACTTGATTAGTAGAAATTTTTGAAAATTATAAATGAGAATACGACTTGATAATGCTCTTATGCTCTGATCTTCCCGATATTTTGAAATTATTTTAAAACTAGAATAAAAATATACATAAATGTGATATTGAGAAATTTTCGAAAATTTTTACTTTAGAAGAAATTTAGATTTTCTTAATTTTTAAATATCTATATGAAAATTGCAAATGCAGTGTAATCCTAAATTCTACCCATGCCATCTCTAGTGCAATGTAAATCACACCCAGTTCTAAACCACAAAACAGAAATTATTTAGTTTAGTCTGTAAGTGATCGTGCAGCATACACAATGCTAGATTAAGTTCTCAATTCAAGTTCATAATTTAATTTTTAAAAAATATATAAAATGAAATCCTCAACTTTTAATACCATATCCTGTTTATTGGGAGAATTTATCGCCACCGCTATGTTACTCTTTTTGGGTTGCATGGGCTGTACTGGCCATAATAATAGTCTCTTTCAAATGGCTTTGAATTTCGGTTTTGCCGTTATGCTGATAATTCAATGTTTTGGTTGTGTATCGGGTGCTCATCTAAATCCGGTCATAACATTGGGTGCTTATATTATGGATATAATGAATTGGCGTTTGTCTTTGGCCTACGTGTGTGCCCAATTGTTAGGCAGTTATGCGGGTTATGCTCTCTTAATGTATTTAGTACCGAAATCTTTTCTACCTCTGGATAGTGAGAATAACGGTTTCTGTGTTACAATACCACATTCGGAATTTAGTTTTGTTCAATCGGTGGCTATAGAATTTATTATAACTTCAACGTTGATTTTGTTTGCCTGCAGTATTTGGGATCCTCGTAATGAAAAATATCGTGAGACTTTGTCATTAAAATTTTGTTTGGCCGTCGTTTGTTTGGGATTAACAGCGGTAAGTTATTCTATATATTTATTAATATTTAATGTATTTACAGTTGAAACTTGAAATTTTGAAAATTTACCTACAAATTCCAAAATTTAGGTTAAATTCGGAAATTTATCAAATATATATGGTAATATTTTTTGCTAAGTAGTCAATTGACATTTAATAGTGCAAATGGAGTTCAAATATATAGCTTTTAAACGTTACCTAAACTAGCTGCCGGTTTGTGGCCAAAACAATTTTATGTAATTTACATACCCTACACCACTATAGTATATATAGCTGAGTTTGTACCACCCAAAAATATTGGTCCCTTAAGCATACCAATCAGCTTAAGTATACCAAATAACTTTCTGAGTCGATTAAGATATGTCCATCCGTCTGTGTGTCCAGATAAACTTTTTGTGCACGCTACATATCGCAATTTTCAGGAAAATTTGATGTAATTTAGCACATATTTTTCTACTGGCCCTATTGAAAACAATTGAAATCGGTCCGTTATTTCACCTAGCTCCCATACAACCGTACCCCACGAATAGAGCTTTTGATCTCATAAATATGTTAAATGCTTAGTATCTCTACAAAAATCGGCACAACTTAGTTTTGTATAACTCTATATGCTGCAGCTAATTTTCGAAATGATTGGAAATCATTTGACCCTAACCCCATACAAAGTCCCCTTCAGAAATAAAATTCGATAAAATTCTTCATAAATAACTTTAATGTAAACGTAAATCCTTCTACCAACATTTATAAGGATAGGCCCATATTTACCCTTGCCCCATATAATTTTTTACAAACTAATCACTGGTGTAGGGTATCATTTGTCGATCATGCCCGACTATACATTCTTACATGTTTGTATATGAAACTTTTCTGTATATCTGGAATGCATTGTGAAATTTAAAGTGGGCGGATGGTTGTTTTCTAAGAAATTATAACAGTTAGGGTTTTGTAAGGAAAACTCTGAAATTTGTACATATATTTTTGCAAAAAGTGGGCGGATCAACAATAGTGGGCGTGGCAAGTCCCTTGTCAAGTAAATATAGCGGCAATTTTTGTGCGAATAACATTACTGTCTTATAGCCAAGAAAAAAAGGAAGTGACACCTCCCACATAAAGAATAGAATTTGAATTTTGTATAAATGGAAAACTATAAGAAGTACAATCTAGATATAAGTAACATTACTATCCATTGAACTATTTAAGACCGAAATGGGAAGACCAACAGTAGTGGGCATGGCGTCCCATAATATTAAAATAATTGAAACTATATAAATAAAAAAACATAAGTGTATTTTGTGACTTTGAATCTAATAACGTGACAATCCTTTATGAGAGAAAATGTGATCTATGAAGGTATTATAATCCGACGTTCACTAACACAGGGTCCTATGTGTAGACTTAGAATATGAACCATCAACTACTCTCAGACTTCTTTCTTCTGAGGAAGCTTCTAGTCCCATTCTCATACCCAGTTGATGATGATTAAAAGATTACCCCAGGGAGTGAAACGATTACAGAGCATAGGTTGACGTAGTGCTAATGGGCCAACTTATACCTAAACAGTATGTATCAAGGAAGTCCATCATATTATTGATATTATATAAATCTGTGTGGGACCTAGTTCAATTGTGGAACGAGCATTTTCTGTTTAAAAAAGTGATTAATTTCTTACAGGGATAGAGAGATAATTCGATGGGTTACTATGTTGACCGATATTGCTCATTTCTTAAATGGAAAATTTCACATTCCATTAGCATTTCTCCTTCACCGTGATTACAACAACAGTAGGTGTGACATTTGTTGAATTTCAATTCAATTTTGTTTATCAAAGTTTGCAGTTTAACGCATTGAATTTTTTGGTATTTTGGCCAATTTGTGAGCTCGAACTGAACTTTAAAAGAAGTTTTGGTAACATTCTATAGATATATGATATTCATATGTATAGTTACTCTCACATCCATTAAGAGGTTAAATGTATTTTAAATAGTAGACGTAATCATAATCCATAAAACCTACTATTGTAAAGATAAAGATAAGAAGCAATAATCTACAAGGGAAAGAAAATCTCGAAGATATGAATTATCTCATTCATTGTTATTAGATACTGTACATCATGAACTTTAATTATTTCGAATAAATTATAGCGCTGGTAACGTTAAAACGTTCAGATTTTGATTTTTCTTAACCGACTCCAGCCATATCACTGGATTCGTTTAAGTAATATTTATAAATGTTCATACATGATCATACGTCCTTGGTTATTATGTTATGATTTAGTTTGCTCAAGTCAGGATTTTCTTTACACAATATGTAGTTCGACTAATAACAGTTGAAGGGTGTATAAATTTCGAACTAACTGTTTGTTGCTTACTTATTTACTTTTCGTATCACTTTCATGGACCACATAAATCACAGGTATATTTAAACTAAATTTTCACATTTAGCTAAATCTTATAAAATTCTAAAAAATAATTTTAGTGTGAATTTAAACATAGAGTTAAAAGTATATTCTGCTAAATTAAAAACAAAAATTACAAGATCTAATAATTATGAAATCGTTAACTAACGATATAGTATCACGTCTATTGGCAGAATTTGTGGGTACTACCATTCTAGTATTCTTAGGCTGTTTGGGTTGTGCCGGCAATGAATACAGTTTATTTAAAATTGCCTTTAATATGGGTTTTACCGTTATGCTTATTGTCCAGAGTTTGGGTTGTGTATCGGGTGCTCATTTAAGTCCAGCCATTACATTGGCCGCTTATATTATGAATCTAATCAGTCCTCTTTTGTCTGTGGGCTATTTTTGTGCTCAATTGTTGGGTTGCTTTACGGGTTATGCCCTTCTAATGTTTTTGATTCCAAGCTCTTTTTTGCCCACTGGACCAAACGACGATGGTTTCTGCCTAACATTGCCACATCCTGAATTGGGTTATATGCAGGCTGTTGCTATTGAATTTATTATCACCGCTACTTTGGTATTCTTTGCCTGCAGTTTTTGGGATCCCAGGAATGCCGAATATGGTAAAACTATACCAATAAAATTCGGCTTTGCCATTATTTGTTTGGCTTGTACTGCTGTAAGTAAAATTGCTATTTATTTGAATGTGATATATAATTTTACTTTCATACTAAAAGTGAAAATCAGTGATAAATTAAGTACGTAAAAGCAAATACTTATGAAATACTTTCTTAGTCATCCCAATTATCAATATAAACAACTGTATATTGATTTGGAAATAACAATGATAGCGAAACAAAATCGGGAAGTTTCTAAAACGTTTATTAAAGTGTGTTTGTGACACATCGAAATTAAAATGTATACATACATATATGTATGTATATTCTGCAACAGCTGTAACAACTGAAAGGTTTTTCCACTAGAAAAGCAGTCGAACTGTTGCCACAACAACAATCGAGACCATAAAGGTCCTAGTTTATATAAAAATATCTGCCCGGAATATTAGGGTGATACGCACCCTATTACCAGTCCGCTCATTTTGTCCATATGTATTGAGTATTCTAGTTCATATGTATTGAGTATTCTAGCTTTAAGCGTTTCCCAGATGGGAGGGGACACGCCCCCTATTGCTAAACCGCCAATTTGTTACCCGAATGTTTACATGCATGTCAAAATTGTCCGTGCAAAATTTGAGGATTCTAGCTTAAACAGTTCCCCCGATATATAAACATTTGTCTATAATTCATATGGGAGGTGTCACGCCCTCAATTGATAGTCCGGCCATTTCCACCCAAATTGTTCATATGGAGTTTAATGTTGCCCGTGCCAAATTTGAGAATTCTATCTCTATTGGTTTCCCAGATATACGAGTTTTTGTATTTAATTCCTGAGGAAGGTGCCACGCCCCCGATTTTTAGTTCGCCATTTTTGACTTATATATTCATAATGATACTAAGGTGTCTGGCTCCGTTAGCATTCTAACTGTTATATTTTCTATGAGATACTGCTTTGATATTTTCTTTATATAGAAGGTGTCTTAGACAGTCCCTTTATTTTCTCCCCAAATGATGACAGGGATGTCAAAATTGCCCATATAAAATTTAAGGACTCTAGTTGTTGGAGTTTCTGAGATATTCTAATTTTAATATATATATTTAGGCGTGGCATCTCGCCTATTTGCAATTTCGAAATAAAAAGTAGCCTATAATTCCTTCCAGACATCCACCACTTATTATTACTCCTAGGCACCCGACTACCCCGGTGACTAACACGTGCTTGTACTAGGAGGAAGTCAGCCGTCACTTCATAGATTACAAAAAGACAGTCAGAAAGCTAGTCTAAAGATGTCAATACATGGCAAAGAACCTTTTCGCTTAAAGATTTTTAAGAGTCTACTCTCTAGATTACTCCTCTCTCGCGTACAGAAGGGACACTAAAGTGACAACTGTCTTCACTCTCGTTTACAACAAGTATATTAGAGAGAAAAGACGAATTAGAGCCAAGTCGTAATTGAAAATCGTTGTCATATTCGGATGCATTGACTATATGTGGAACTGCTATGTTCTATCTAGAAATAAATTATAAAAGTTAAAATAATTAAAAACAAGTAATTTATTGATTTATTATATTTTTTTTTACAGGGCAACTTTACGGGTGCTAGCATGAATCCGGCTCGTTCTTTGGCCCCTGCTTTATGGAATAACAATTACAAATATCAGGGAGTTTATTGGATTGGTCCTTTAGGTGCTGCTGTTGTCAGTTCATATTTGTATAAGCTGGTATTTTGGCGTGATGTACAAGAATGATTATAAAAATTTAAGCAAAAAATAATTAATTAATAAAAGTAATTATTAAAAATTAAAGTTTTTATAGAAGGAAATAAAGTTACATATCACTCGATTTACTCTTTATCATATAAGTACCAGGCCAATCGTTAAAGAATGAGCTAATTCCCATGCCATTAAGGTAAGGGAACTTAAGGAAGTTAACAAGATAACTGCAAAGCTGTTACAAGCAATTTAAAGCTTTCACAAGAGAAACCCAAGCGACCCCATGGGAAATTGCAAATCTCTTCTCTGAGAGCAAATACGGTGTTATCTACGTATTCTGACCGGACATACAAGACTACGATATCATTATTAGTTCATGAGTTATTTGCGATTAAGGGGTTTTCAAAAGATCACTTTATATTGGAGCAACAACCAATTATGGGCCGTTTGGAAAACAATTTTCAATGACTAATTTATATATTTAAAAAACATATGTATTTGTGTTAACATGTTTTCCGACAACGATATTTTTTGATGAATTATGTGCCTTTAAGTGATTTTAGGAGGTGAAACTTAATAATAGGCCCATTCAGAATAAGTGATTTTCGGAGGTGGGCCTTATATGCAAGCTATGACCAATTATGGCCCGATCCAGAAAACAATTTCGCTGAATATTTTTAACATTTATTGAATATTGTCCCGATGTCGTTATCGGTTCATAAATTATGTTTTTTTATGTGGGATCTTATATGGGAGTCATGGTCAATAAAGGATGGATCCAGGTAATATGATTTTTATTGATATTAGTAAGATATAAAGTCGAAATTTTGTGATATTCTAGAGAGAGTTATTAGCAATAAATCCATTTCCTGAGAGTCCTTATTAAATTCTGGGTCCTTATTAAATTCAAAGACGATCTAGCCATGTCCGTCCGTCCGTCTGTCTGTCTGTTGAAGCACTATAGGGTCCGAACGGAATGAGCTAGAGGATTGAAATGTTCCACAAATATTCTCTATAGGTAAGGTTTGTTTGGATAGCCTCCTTGCAAGTTCGGATAGCCCCCATACAAGTGGACCCCCGAAAAATAGCTTTAACGGGCATATCTGATTTAAAAGTACGAGTATAGCTATGAAATTTGACACACATAAGTTTAAATGGAGTAGAAATCTCTCTATCAAATTTTATGTAGATCGGCCCCCTTCCGAAAATTACTTTAACGCTCATTGCTGGTTTAAGAATAAAAGAAATTCGACACACATAGTTTTCAATAGAGCCAAAATCTCTCTATCAAAGTTTAATGTGGATCGGTCCATAGTTGACCATACCCTCTATATAAGGTCCCCTTCAAAAAATTACTTTAACACTCACTACTGGCTTAAAAATATTAGTATAGCAATGAAATTTGGCATAAGTTAGTCCATTATGATCCAAAACTTCTTTACTAAGTTGTATGTGAATCGGTAAGTTCTCTAAGTAAGTTCCTTGTGAACCAAAATCACTTAATCAAAGTTTATGTGGATCGGTCCATAATTGACCTTACACCCCCCCCCCCCCTATAAGATCCCCTTCAGATAATTAATTTAACGCTCATTACTGCCTTAAAAGTACGAATATAGAGATGAAATTCGACATAAGAAAGTTTCTTACGGGCCAGAACCTCTCTACTAACTTTTGTGAGATTCTGCATATGATTGACCCTCATATAAGCTCCCCTTCAGAAAATAACTTTAAAGCTCATTACTGGCTTAGAAATACGAAAAAAGCCATGAAAATCTACACACATACATATGTTTTATACGAGTTAAAATCTCTCTACCAAATTTATTAAAGGTCGGTCCATATGATGTTTATAGGAAGCATTCCGTTTACGGCATACGGTTTGATGATGGGTATATGATTCGGCTCAGCCGAATATAAGACTCTCACTTGTTATATATGTATTTCCGAATCTAATAATATCATAATAATTATTTTATTTAGTTATTACGTCCTAATCAGTCACACGCCGACATTTTTGAACTAATTTCTCTGAACTATATTCTGCTTTTGATCATAAGCAATTGTTTTTGCAATCGTCACTTTAAGGCGTTAATACCCATATACTTGTCTTAACTCTATTATTATTGATTAACTATTTAACGTATTTAAAGTTAATCTTGATTGTTAATATGACATATTGAAGTACTTACTTATTTTAAAGCTTATAATATTTTATCGTTATTTTTTTTTTTTGAGGGCGTTTTTCTTTCAAAATAAATAAATATGTTTTTGCGTCATATATAGTTCGTGCTAGAGAATTCATTGAGTTTTAGTTGCGACAATTTTAGATACTATCTTTTGTATAGAATATTTTAAATAACTTGGCTAGAATTGGGTTTCTTGCTTTATGTTTTAAACTGGTATGTGCGAGTAGTAAGCGATCGCATTTGAGCATTAGTTTGTACAGTGATTTTTAAAGAAGTGATAATGATTTAGATAATGCCACTACTAGAATAATCACTAGGTACTCCATATTTAATACAGGCGCTTTCAAATACTGAACTGATTTGATCAGTTGTGGGGGAAAGTATTCTAAGGTTAGTGACTAGAAGTTATTGTCACCTCTATAGACGTCTTTTACAAGCACAAATCTTGTGATGTATAAGCTTTCACATTTAGATACTTCGTATTGTCTTCGTTTACCTTTAGGTCCAAGTTCTTTGACTATTTTTCAAGTTTTGCAAAGAATCCACTTTTCAAGTTTTGAAAAGATTCCGCTCGTATGTTGCGGTCAATGATGTCAATTTCTTCAGTATATTCGAACAACAGTCGTCGCCTTACCATAAAGACGTTCACAAAATATACTGGATAGTACTTTGTAGGCGATAGTTGGTGCAAAATGTAGGGTCTTCTTTTTTTAAAGAGAGGGCACTGAGCACTGAGGTTCTACTCATGTCAAATGCAGTTGGTGCGTTCACAGCTCAAACACTTCGCCCTAACTTCGGTATAATAAAAATATCAAAACTTTGTTGTTTAGGTTACCTTCCCATTATTAAAATAATTATGAAGCACTATATAATATATTAACCAAAATTAGTTATTATTTGTGTTTGAATTCCCAAAAAATATTTAATAAAATTATATTAATTGAAGCGCAAAAAGTAGAGTAGAGAAGTGTTAACTGGTGTGAATAGACGTCGTGAGTTGGAGAGCTCTTAAATCGGAAATAAAATCTGAAAACAATTTTAATTAATAGTGTGAAAAAAAAACAAAATAACAAGCCCCCAAAAATGTCGTTAAGACTTTTAATTAAACTATTCTTTTCGGAATTTATTGCTACGGGATTTTTAATGTTCGCCGGCTGTATGGGAGCCTGGGAATCGACGATATTTCCCAATACAAATTTCCAAATCAGCATTAATATAGCTCTCATTGTGATGATAGTTGTTCAATGTTTCGGTCATGTATCGGGTGGTCATGTCAATCCTACTGTTACCGTGGCGGCCTTTATTAATGGTGTCATAAATTTCCCCATGCTAGTGGTCTATGTTTTGGGTCAAGTTTTGGGTGCTACAGCAGGTTTTGGCATTTTAAAGGCTGTTTCACCACCTATGCCCGATAATTTCTGTTTAACTTTACCCAATCCGGAACTCACGACGTTACAGGTGTTTGTGGTGGAATTTGTTATATCGAGTATGTTGACTGTGGTTGTGTGCTCAATTTGGGATTCCAGTAATGCTGGCCGACATGATGCATTACCCATACGTGTTGGTTTTACTTTGGGTTCATTGGTATTCTCAGCGGTAAGTTTTTTAATTCATTATAAACAGGTTTTCTGGGATCATTAATCGCGTTGTTGAGCTATAAATGTTTAACAGCATAGACCAAATTTAAGTTAGTTGATGGATTATATAGTCGCTGTAGGATCTTTCGATTTAAGAGAGGACTCTTTTCCCAACTCTATTCTTCGGAAAGAAGCGATCTCTATACTAACGGTAAAAGTGTTAGGAGTTCTTGCTTGGCCTCCATCAGAATACCTATTGAAAGCACTATTTTTCAGACTGTAATTTAGGTAATCGATATAGTTACTAGAACTAAATCTCAAAGCGTTGACATTTATGTACACTGTATTGCACTTCTGTCAAATGTATTCTCACTCTCTGAGTTCCAGGATATGTCATTTAGTGAATCGTTCGTAAAATGATATTTATATTCCCCTGGCTACTGAGATTACTTGGTACAAACCTCTTTCATGACCTAGACTGCCTACTAGATGTGTTATTTACAAATCTAATGATTTTTTTTGATGAACCGGATAAGACTCTCAGGGACCATAGTATCTAATCTACCAATAAGTATAGGATGTATATAAAATAAGTATAGGGTGGTATTCTCAGGCTATATCTTCCGAATTATCGGGGTAAATTTTGAAAACACATCACGAAATTATACAATGGGGTCGTAAATCAGACATCTTCAAGCTCCAAACATTCACGTTAAGTATTTGCACATGTTCACGATTCTAAGCACTAATTGTTGATACAATGAAAATCTTAACAAGTAGTTTCATAAAACTTAAGTGGCTCTTGTTAATCGCTCGATTATCCCTTTTCAGAATAGATTAACCAAAAAAGATTAGATGTAAACATTAGTTTCAATCCAGACATAAACCAGATAAGATATTTGACTTGTTTCTAGAGGACCTTGTTTATTTATTTACAATAAATTTCACAATTTCATTAAACTAAATTATGCATTTTCTTTCATAACTTTCAGAGTCGCTTAAGTGGCGGTAGTTTGAATCCTGCTCGCTCCTTTGCCCCTGCTCTCTTGATGTCCAATTTCGACTACCAATGGCTGTATTGGGTATCTCCCTTATCATCCGCCCTCATCACCAGTATTATTTATAAATACTTCTTTAAAACTCCCGAACCAAAAGAGATTAAATCCAACAACACTGTTGAAGAAGACCAAAATAAGGTTCAAGTTTAAATCGAAAAAAAAAAAAAATTGAAAAAGAAAATACGAAAAAAAATTATATTTTAGTTATCTGAAATTATTTCTTACTAAATTGAAAAAATAAGCATAAAAGATTATTTGTAATTTGGTTAATTAAGTTAAGTTTTATTTTTTGTTAAATATTTTACTTATAATTAAAATTAAATAATAAGCGACGACAAATTTTATAAATTTGAATACATATGTATATTAATTGTTGTTTTTTTATTTATTAAAACAAATGTGGTAGTAAATATTTCAATGAAATAATATTAAAAGAAATAAGTGTATTATATTATACATATGTACCCATCATCGAATTATGTGCCGTAAAATAAAGTGAATAGGGTTAATTATGGACTAATCCTCACAAAATTTGGTAGTAATATTTTGGAGCCTATACAAACCTTTTGAGTTCAATTTCGTCACAATACTTGTATAACTTATTAGGCAGTTGTGAGTCATAACACCATTTTTTGACCTTATTTTTGTTCTTTTATACTTGAATTTCACCACAATACTGCTATTAATAAACCAGTTATGAGCTTTAAAGTCACCTTCTGAAGCAAACTTTATACTGTTAAATAAATTTTCTGAACGGGACCTTATAGGGGGTAGGGTCAATTATGAGTCGATCTTTATAAAATGGTGTTCTTATAAAACTTGTTTGTATCGAATTTCGTCACTATACTGCTGTTACTAAGCCAGTTACGAGCGTTAAAGTAATATTCTGAAGGCGGTAGTTTAAATTTTGGTTAGTTAGTTAGTTAGTTAGTTAGTTAGTTAGTTAGTTAGTTAGTTAGTTAGTTAGTTAGTGTAGTTAGTTAGTTAGTTAGTTAGTTAGTTAGTTAGTTAGTTAGTTAGTTAGTTAGTTAGTTAGTTAGTTAGTTAGTTAGTTAGTTAGTTAGTTAGTTAGTTAGTTAGTTAGTTAGTTAGTTAGTTAGTAGTTAGTTAGTTAGTTAGTAGTTAGTTAGTTAGTTAGTTAGTTAGTTAGTTAGTTAGTTAGTTAGTTAGTTAGTTAGTTAGTTAGTTAGTTAGTTAGTTAGTAGTTAGTTAGTTAGTTAGTTAGTTAGTTAGTTAGTTAGTAGTTAGTTAGTTAGTTAGTTAGTTAGTTAGTTAGTTAGTAGTTAGTTAGTTAGTTAGTAGTTAGTTAGTTAGTTAGTTAGTTAGTTAGTTAGTTAGTTAGTTAGTTAGTTAGTTAGTTAGTTAGTTAGTTAGTTAGTTAGTTAGTTAGTTAGTTAGTTAGTTAGTTAGTTAGTTAGTTAGTTAGTTAGTTAGTTAGTTAGTTAGTAGTTAGTTAGTAGTTAGTTAGTTAGTTAGTTAGTTAGTTAGTTAGTTAGTTAGTTAGTTAGTTAGTTAGTTAGTTAGTTAGTTAGTTAGTTAGTTAGTTAGTTAGTTAGTTAGTTAGTTAGTTAGTTAGTTAGTTAGTTAGTTAGTTAGTTAGTTAGTTAGTTAGTTAGTTAGTTAGTTAGTTAGTTAGTTAGTTAGTTAGTAGTTAGTTAGTTAGTTAGTTAGTTAGTTAGTTAGTTAGTTAGTTAGTTAGTTAGTAGTAGTTAGTTAGTTAGTTAGTTAGTTAGTTAGTTAGTTAGTTAGTTAGTTAGTTAGTTAGTTAGTTAGTTAGTTAGTTAGTTAGTTAGTTAGTTAGTTAGTTAGTTAGTAGTTAGTTAGTTAGTTAGTTAGTTAGTTAGTTAGTTAGTTAGTTAGTAGTTAGTTAGTTAGTTAGTTAGTTAGTTAGTTAGTTAGTTAGTTAGTTAGTTAGTTAGTTAGTTAGTTAGTTAGTTAGTTAGTTAGTTAGTTAGTTAGTTAGTTAGTTAGTTAGTTAGTTAGTTAGTTAGTTAGTTAGTTAGTAGTTAGTTAGTTAGTTAGTTAGTTAGTTAGTTAGTTAGTTAGTTAGTTAGTTAGTTAGTTAGTTAGTTAGTTAGTTAGTTAGTTAGTTAGTTAGTTAGTTAGTTAGTTAGTTAGTAGTTAGTTAGTTAGTTAGTTAGTTAGTTAGTTAGTTAGTTAGTTAGTTAGTTAGTTAGTTAGTTAGTTAGTTAGTTAGTTAGTTAGTTAGTTAGTTAGTTAGTTAGTTAGTTAGTTAGTTAGTTAGTTAGTTAGTTAGTTAGTTAGTTAGTTAGTTAGTTAGTTAGTTAGTTAGTTAGTTAGTTAGTTAGTTAGTTAGTTAGTTAGTAGTTAGTTAGTTAGTTAGTTAGTTAGTTAGTTAGTTAGTTAGTTAGTTAGTTAGTTAGTTAGTTAGTTAGTTAGTTAGTTAGTTAGTTAGTTAGTTAGTTAGTTAGTTAGTTAGTTAGTTAGTTAGTTAGTTAGTTAGTTAGTTAGTTAGTTAGTTAGTTAGTTAGTTAGTTAGTTAGTTAGTTAGTAGTTAGTTAGTTAGTTAGTTAGTTAGTAGTTAGTTAGTTAGTAGTTAGTTAGTTAGTTAGTTAGTTAGTTAGTTAGTTAGTTAGTTAGTTAGTTAGTTAGTTAGTAGTTAGTTAGTTAGTTAGTAGTTAGTTAGTTAGTTAGTTAGTTAGTAGTTAGTTAGTTAGTTAGTTAGTTAGTTAGTAGTTAGTTAGTTAATTTAATTTAATTTAATTTGATTTGATTTGTTAGTTAATTTGATATTTAAATCGATATTTAAATGGCAATAAGGTGGCAACTCGGTAAACAAACCAAAATAAGCCAACAATTGTATTTGCCTTCCATTAGTGTTATCGATGACAAAATATTAGTTATGTGTCATCAAGAAAAATAAACGGAATAAAATTTTAAAAATTATTGTGAAATAAATAAGTAAATTAAAAAATATTAAATCGTAAAAGACTATGATAACAGTTAATTTAACAAAAATAGTAAATATTATTAAAATTAAAGCTAAAATGATGATTAAAATGATATCAACTGACAATAGATATTTTGATTAACTAAATAGAATTTATTGTCTAATTTGAAAATTTAAAGAATAAAGTGTAAAATAAAGTATTGGCAACAATGACATTGTTTGATCAATATATTAATAGTTTATTTTTGGTTTATTACTCACATTTTCAATATAAACTTCGTAAAATAAACCATAAAACATTTATGAATATATGGATAACGTCTTATGATTTTTGAACTCTAATATGTGCCATAAAAGATACAAATATTAATCTGATACACGTTTTACTTCAGAAAGGACAAAAAGTGAAGATAGGTAACTTTGCTTCAAGTCTTCCTATTATTGTATTTAAAGTACTTGTCCCACTGTGATATTATTATAAAGACGTATCTATGTTAGAACTTATTGGACTCTAGTATTTGTATGTGATCCGTGGAGTTTTGCGACCAAACGTGTCCACTTATTAATCATGGTCATCCTAACATTATTTCATTCACAATTACATTTGCTGTCTAGGTCTCAAGTGTTTAATTACTCATCGTATCATATCTAATGTTTATTCTATTTACTAACATATTTAATATAATATTAAACGTAAGAGTTAAAACTTAAAGAAATTTCTAAACAAACTGTTGCAGAAGTAATAAATCGTTTATTTATTTCTTACAATATTAATGGTTTTTATAAAATCGTCTTACCAGCAGCAAAAGATCATCTGATATGTGGGTCGAATGTGTACGATATTATAAAATGACTGATAAAAAATGTAAATGTATATATTGGTGCATATTTCCTAATATTTTATTTATTTCTTTATTAACGATAGTGAATGTAAATAAATTGCAACAAATTGAAGTGTATTGACTCAGAGATTTTGAAAAAATCGTTAATAGACTAGATAATACTACTTATAAGTTAATACAATTGATTTTCAATATTAAACTGAAGTGTTTTCGAAAGGGGAAAGGTTTGCATCAGATATAGCCTTTATGACTTAAGCGGGAAATATGTATTTTGTATCCAACCTGCTGACCTAAAGGTGTGCTCTAGCAATTAGCTATTCCTTACCTTCTAGCATCTGTCCATTAGTTTAATGGTGACTAATACAATATTTGTATGTGTGGACCTCGTACACATATGTATCACTACTTTGGAAGCTACGACATGACGCTAAACTATATAAATATTTTCACTTAAATACGATTTCTGGTAACGAAATAGAACAACTGTTTAATCAATGACTACCAAGCTGTAGATCACAGGTCCAGGTTCCACTGAGATGCTGTGAAATCGTTCGACAAATTAGTAGTTAGTTTTCAGTTACTCATGTGTGAGATTTCTGATTAAATAGGACACTATACACTTGGTTCATAGCACCAATAATATTTCCGCTATTAAAGGGTTAAACCTTCGAATTACCAATGTCGAAGGATGAATGATGTGAGCAAAAACGAATAGTACTAACACCAACATCTAAGTTTCCTCATTCTGAAGTTGAGAATCAAATATAATCAGTTTATACGCTATATTATATACTAGGTATGTATGACTGACCGGATACCCTAATAAACTTCAGTTCCGTATAGTTCGTCGTCTCGTCATTGCCTAGCTATCAGTAATCGATGAAAGTCTCAATATGCTCAGTGACCGACGGTAATCAAAGAGTACTTAAGTCAGACTTGATAGAGAATATGCAATCAAAGATGACTGGTCTGAGCAAAAGCGAATAGTAACCACTGCAGGATAAAAACAAAACACCGACTACCAGGTGTTCCTCATTCTCAAATCAAGAAACAGATGTAACCAGTTAATACGATATATTATTGCCACTATTGACTCGATACCCCGAACATCTCCAGTTCCGAATCGGTTGACATCTTGTTAAGAAACGTCCAATATCCGATAACTAGTTTTGAAGAAGTGTCTTGGTTTTCTAAAATGTTCCAGCAGAGGTCTTTCCTGCCACTTGCTATGTAGGCAAATTTCAATCGCATGTTCACAAACACTACTCCCTATATCTTCCCTTCTATAACCTATTTCCTAGTCCCATCACAATGCATTGGATGAGTAGGAAAATCCTCTGGACCTTAAGAAACAAATTAAGTGTCTCAGCGCTGTTATAACGTCTTAAATTCAGAGGAGCAATTTTGAAAAATACACTTTGGGTGGCCTGTTTAATCTAACTAATTAAATGATTAACCTGATTAAATATACATAATAACCATTTCAAAAAAAAAAAAACAACGCGAACTTACATACTTCCTTCCCTATTTAAAATTAGCAGCAATTTATTTTAAACACGAAATACTGATATGTAGATCATTCTTCTACGATATCAACAGTTACAACAAATTACTTAAGGCTGAATGCTAGATAAATAATTCCCACGTAAAAATATTTATTTTGTACATTAAAATTAAATTATTTAGTTAAATTTGGCAGTACGATAACGTTAATAAAGTTAATGGAATTTTTAAAATACATTCAGAAAACGACAAGTCTTTAATTGCAATTTATTGTGAATGGTCGAGAATTTTGAGAGCAAATCAAAAATATTTAAATTGTTAACAGAAAAAAATATCCCAAAATGCCTCCAGTTTATAAACATTTAATTCAATGTTTATTTTCGGAATTTATTGGCACCGCTTTTATGATGTTTGCCGGTTGCATGGGTCACTGGGAGGCGGTACAGTTTACAAATACACATTTTCAAATTAGTCTCAATATGGCTTTGGTTGTTATGATAGTGGTCCAGTGTTTTGGTCATATATCGGGTGCCCATGTCAATCCTGCTGTCACAGTGGCTGCCTTTATAAATGATGTGATAAAATTCCACATGCTGATGGTCTATTTTATTGGTCAGTTTTTTGGTGCCATTGCAGGTTTTGGTCTTGTTGTAGCCGTTTCTTCTCCTATGCCAGACAAGTTTTGCCTGACTTTGCCCAATGGAAACTTCACTCAGTTCCAAGTTTTTGCGGTGGAATTTATAGTGACAAGTATGTTGGTTGATGTCTGCTGTGCCGTTTGGGATTCTCGGAATGTTAAAAATCAAGATTCATTGCCAGTACGTTTGGGTTTAACTGTGGGATGTCTGACATTTTCAGCGGTAAGTGCTTTTGGTTTTAATAATTTTAAAATTGACACACATTAGTATGGTACTTATTCCAAATTAATCAAAATTTTATAATCAGTTTCTGTTTATCCTTTTAAACGGATATTTTCAGATTAACATAAGTGGTGGAAGCATGAATCCAGTGCGATCTTTTGGACCCGCTTTATTGTTGCTGAATTTTGATTATCAATGGATCTACTTGGCAGCACCTCTGTCATCATCTGTAATTTCTAGTTTAATTTATAAATATTGTTTTAAATCTAATCCGCGTACAGATTTTCGCATGTCTATTGATTCGCAATAAAATAAGTGTTAAGATTAAGAAACCAAATTATTTGTATACATTAGGGTTGTCGTTGGAATAAAATTTTGATAATGATTGTTTAAATTTGCATACAGAATGATTCGAAAATTTTTGTCGAATAATCGAATAAATGTTTAATGTTACTTTTTACGAATATTTTATTATAACTTTTAATAAATAAGTTTATATGTTGTAAAATAAGTAATAAATCTGTAGATAAAGTTCTATAATTAAAACAAAATCGAATCGAATTTTCTACTTTTACTATGTTCATAATTGGTTTATATATTGGAATGGCAACTCGTCTACTTAAGTTTAAGATAGATAGATAGATATAGATAGATGATAGATAGATAGATAGATAGATAGATAGATAGATAGATAGATAGATAGATAGATAGATAGATAGATAGATAGATAGATAGATATAGATAGATAGATAGATAGATAGATAGATAGATAGATAGATAGATAGATAGATAGATATAGATAGATAGATAGATATAGATAGATAGATAGATAGATAGATAGATAGATAGATAGATAGATAGATAGATAGATAGATAGATAGATAGATAGATAGATATAGATAGATAGATAGATAGATAGATAGATAGATAGATAGATAGATATAGATAGATAGATATAGATAGATAGATAGATAGATAGATAGATAGATAGATATAGATAGATAGATAGATAGATAGAAGTTATAGATAGATAGATAGATACTAGATGATAGATAGATAGATAGATAGATATCAGATAGATAGTAGATAGATAGATCTGTAGATAGCTCTTCCTCATCGCTCTTTCGGCTCCTCGCCCTCGCTCGCTCGCTCTCGCTCCTAATTGTCTCTTAACAATATTCCTCGCTCCTCTCTCTTTATTGCTCTAGGTAGCCTGTCGCTAGCTCGGGCCCACCTTCCGCCCTCCTTCGGCCCAACGTGCCTATTAATCATGGTCTCTTCCATATTTCATCCTCAATTACACTTTGCTGTCTAGTCTCCAGTGTTTTTAATTGCATCATCCTATCATATCTAATTTTTATTCTAGTTACTAATTTATTTTCTATTAACGTAAAGAGTTCAAGCTTAAATCAATTTTTAAACAAACTTTTTCAGAAGTAATAAATAGTTTATTTTCTTACAATAATTATAAATGGTTTTTTATAAAATCGTCTTATCAGCAACAAAAGATCATCTGATATGTAGGTCGAATGTGTACGATATTCTAAAATGACTGATAAAAAATGTCAAGTTATTTCCCCAATAAAATAAATAATTTCTATTTAAGTATATTATTTATGGAAATATTTATATTTGCTCTGGTTTTTTAACATTTGTTGCAGAAATATATATTGTTGATTATTTCTTAATATTTAATTTATTTCTTTATTAACGAGAGTGAATGTAAAAAAATTGCAACAAATTGAAGTGTATTGACTAAGAGATTTTGAAAGAACACGATAATAGACTAGATAATACCACTCGTAAGTTAATACAATTGATTGTCAATATAAAACTCAAGTGGTTTACTAGGGGAAATAATTCCAACAGACATAAGTATTCTTAATATTTTAAAACGGAAATACAAGTGTTCTGCATCTCATAACTATATACGTTAAATATATTAGTGTCTCTCTAAAAATCGGCACAACTAAGTATATTGGTTCATTTTAGTACTCCAGCAGTAGTTGGTAAATATCTTTGGATCCTATTTATTCTGGTAATATCTTTTCAATCTTCATTTGTCTTAAATGAATCCATATCTGTTCTGATCTCAAATAGCATACTAATTTCTCAGGACTGGGACAGGTCCAGGTATATGGAAAAAACGTATTACATTTAACATTGTGATGTCTTAGATGAGGACCTTGTAATTCATCTATGCATTAAATCGAAGTAATCCTAAAACTACTCCCTTGCTAAAATTATGGGGGTAGATGATCCGCAAAAGGTCCTATGTAATGCCGGCTATGGACCCTGTTCAGTATCGCTGTAACAAAATATCAGTCATACTGTTTAAATACTTCCAGTATTTGGCGCAGGTATAGATTGGTTAAGCAATATATTGTGTTGATATTAAGTCATTCTAAATAATGCAAAATTGGCATAAAGTCACGTTTAATTGACGTAAAAATGAATGAATAGTTTTTCCGTTGTCTGTTAAACGTATACAATCTCCCGAGTAAAGTTTCCAGATCTTATTGAAAATCCAATTCGGACAACTGCACTTTGATTACGATTTATTGTATTAAATGGTTAAACTGATTAAAAATATTAATTATAACAATAAAAACAATGCGAAATTACTTCCCTAAATATTTAAAATTAGCAGCATTTTATTTAGAACACGAAATACTGATATCTAGATCATGCTTGAGCGATAACAGCAAAAAGCCGTAAAAATAAATAATTTATTAATAAATTACTTATCGCTAAATGCAAGATAAACAACAATGCCAATGGGTATTTGCCGCTGAGGTAGCATTCCCATATTAAAATGTTTATTTATTGTTTGCACATTAAAATTAAATTATTTAGTTAATTGTGGTAGTACGACAACGTTTAAAAAAAAAGTTAATATGTAGAACTTTTATAAGGCAGACAGAAAACAAACGACAAGTCTTTAATTGCAATTTAGTGTGAATGGTCGTGAATTTTGAGTGCAAATTAAAAAAAAAAAAATATTTAAATTCTTTAAACAGTTAATAAAAAAGTTATCTCACAATGCCTCCAGTGTATAAACATTTGATACAGTGTTTATTTTCGGAATTTATTGGCACCGCTTTTATGATGTTTGCCGGTTGCATGGGTCACTGGGAGGCGGTACAATTTACAAATACAAATTTTCAAATAAGTCTCAATATGGCTTTGGTTGTTATGATAGTGGTCCAGTGTTTTGGTCATATATCGGGTGCCCATGTCAATCCTGTTGTCACAGTGGCCGCCTTTACAAATGATGTGATAAAGTTCCACATGTTGCTGGTCTATTTTATTGGTCAGTTTTTTGGTGCCATTGCGGGTTTTGGTCTTTTAGTGGCAGTTTCTTCTCCCATGCATGACAAATTTTGCATGACATTGCCCAATGGAAACATTACACAGTTGCAAGTTTTTGTAGTGGAATTTATAGTGACAAGCATGTTGGTTGTTGTCTGCTGTGCCGTTTGGGATTCTCGGAATGTTAAACATCAAGATTCATTGCCAGTACGTTTGGGTTTAACAGTGGGATGTCTGATATTTTCGGCGGTGAGTTTAAAGTTAATAAATTTTAAAATATGTACATATATAATCATCATACATGTATGTCTGTCTGACTGTCTGTCTATCTGTCCGTGGATAACATGGAATTTTTAAAAATGCCTTTGTCTAACCAAAAAGTGTAAAAAGTTCGATAACTTGAGCTAAATTAGCATCTATTGATTACTGATCAGTATCTGTTTATTTTTATTGTAGGTTAATCTTAGTGGTGGAAGCATGAATCCAGTGCGATCTTTTGGTCCTGCTCTATGGCTACTGAATTTTGATTATCAATGGATCTATTGGGTTGCGCCACTGTCATCGTCTGTAATTTCTAGTTTAATTTACAAATATTGTTTCAGGACAAATCCTCGTACAGATTTTCGCATGTCTATTGATTCAGAATAAAAATAGATTTTATTATTTAATTCGAAGATCTTTTAATTATTCCATTAACAAAAAAATGGTAAAATCGTAAAATTTTGCCTATTGATTTTTGATGGACTATGTTGTATAGTAAGCCCTTCTTTAGAAGCCAATGGTTTTCCAAATTTATATCTTTCTTTTCTGCCGACATTAGTCGGAAATCATTGTTCGAAATCACTCCGCGATTGAATGTGAAAACACAATTTCCATCATCAACAACTATGAACGTTTGTTGACAAAATGGGTGGACATGCTATAGTTCACCCATATCTGAGAAAATGTAATATATTGACGACTAGAAAAAAGAAATAGGAAAAAATCGTAAAGCGTTTATTATTTATATTATTTTTATGGTAGCGAAGCACACTGGGTATTGCTTGTACTAAGTAATGAAAAGTGACAAATTTTAATAATTTGCTGAATTGAAGTTACAATATTTTTAGATACCTCGATTATTTTACCATGTAAGATTGGAGTTACATATTTCGGGTTTAAATAAAAACCGGCAAACACTAGTTGGCAACGCGACGTTCTTATTGAATTTCCGCAAATGCAACTGTGCAAAAATTTCAAATTGACAAGTTTAGCCTTGACAGCCCTTTCTATTGATACCTTATAAGAAATGGAAACAACATTTTCGTTCCTTTTTATTTCTGATCGTGGTGATGATCAGACGTAGCAGCAATATACAAACTTTTGCTGTCTCAACCTACAGAATTTTCATATCACTTGTTTTCAGATATTGTCAAATCTGGAACAAGTATTGTGGTAATCTTGAAGAGTATTAAAAAAAAATCGAAAAACCAAACGGAATTCCTGGAAACTTTTCTGTAAATAGGTTGATAGCGTGAATTAAATATCGAAGAAAAATAATTCTATCCAAAGTCCATGTTCAACCTGAATCAATGGTTAAGGTCATGGACAGGAGATTGACAAATATGGAAGAGACCATAAAACTCCTGATGGATTATTATTTTCCACCTAATAGGGAGATTTAACATGACCAAAAGGACAATTTCCATCGAGAAATTCTTATCCAAAACTCATGCCCAAATAGTATCAATTGTTAAGGACTCGGGCAGGAGATTGGATATATGAAAAAACCATGCTACACCTAATGGATTCTGATTTTCTACCATATATAACAGGTACCATGCAATAACTGAAGCGGCAAGAAGGAGAAATTGTTGTAATGTTCAACATGGTCAAAGAGGCAATCAATATTTTTGGGCCATAGAAGTCTGCAGGTCCGGATGGTATTTTCATGGCATTCTTGCAATTGGAATATTTAAAGTATTATTGGATTTCGAAAATACTAACAAAATAACAGGATTCTCGTGCAACCTTCTAGTGAACTTACACATACCACACATCCTTCCAAAGATAAAAGAACCGGTATTTGGGGAAGGGGGAGCGAACACAGAGATAGTTCTTACAACCGGCGTTGTTAAGGAGGTAATCAATAGATTTGTACCTTAAAAGCTGCAGGACCGGATGGTATTTTCCCGGCACTTTTGCAAATTCGGGCGGGATTGGAGTCCGTAAATCTGTCAAAGATTTTCACTGCATACTTAAGATTCGCATATATCCCAATTAAATGGCATGATGCAAGGGTTATATTTATACTAAAACCCGGAAAACCTAGTTATGCAATACCTAAGTCCTATCGACCGAAAAGCATTACACTCTTTCTACAACGTGAAACCTTGGAACGGAGAGTCGATAGTATGGTTAAAAGCTGTATTCCTGACAAAGACCTCAAATAAAAGCAGCAAGCTTATGTAAAAGAACAATTTGTGGACACCGCGTTAAATGAAGTTGTCCACTATATACATAGGTGAAACCTTCGATAGCAAACTGCATACACTGGCGGTATTCATTGACATCGAAGGTGCCTTTAATAACGTGCACACTGATACTCTTATCCAATCTATAGACCATTTTTAAGCATCAACTACAAGCTAAGGAACTGATGGATAAGCTCCGATATGTACTATATAACTATCAAGAAACGGGTATTTCACGGTACATCACAGGATGGATTTTTCCTCTCTACTTTGGGTAACCACGATTAATATCCCCCAAAGGACCCAAACAGAGCAAAGACTTAGACCTATCTTTGGGTCTCCCAAAGGAACCTAACCGAGCAGACGAAAGTCTGAAATCTTGTAAATAGACCAATTCTAACTTTTGCTTCAATAATCTAGTGCAGTTCTTTGGACAAAAGGTGTAATATAAAACTACTACAGGGAGTTCAGCGTACATGCTGCTTGGGTATAAGTGGAGCCATGAGCACTATGTCAGCTAAAGCTCTTGAAACGCTGCTAAATATTCAACACATAGCTATATATTTCACCCATACAGATATATAGACGAGAACGAACGGACTATAACTTAAGGCGAACTGATCAAAATCAATTATGGAATATGTCTTCAATGTATACTGGAAACATTGGAAGTCTATACACAATCACTGGACATGCCCAGAATATTTCAGGAATTTTGAAACACTGATCCCAGTTAAAATGTTATGATCAGGCGGAATATAAGAGAAAATACCCGTAGGAATCAGTTCAAAATTATTCGACGCAACAAGGGCTGAGTTTAAAATATGGGTGAGGAAATCCCATAAGGCATCTTGCAATAAGAAACGGTGGGACAGTAGCACGTCAAAGTCTCCCCAAAATGAGCAAGTCTGAGATTAGTGCGATGGTACGTATTCTGATTGAACACACAGGATTACGGGCGCAGCTTTTCAAAATTGGACGTGCGGATTCAGACGAATGTAGAGTATGTAGAGAGGACGGTAGAACTTTGGAGCACTTTTGCAGAAATTCGATTCAGATATCTTGGGTGAAATTAGTCCGGATATATGTAATATCCCTCTCGAACACTGGTTGGAAAATTCTTAGGAATAACGTCTAGGGAAATAAATTTCTGAAGATCGGACCCAACAAACCAACAAACATTTTCTTCTATAATGACGTAGTAACATATGTTTATAAAGAAATCTCCACTTTTGTGCTTGTATCTTAAACAAATATGAAACTGAAATGATCTCATAACTTTAAAATAATTTAAATAATTCTAATACATTATCAGAAACATTTTTAAGTAAGTTATCTTAAAAGAAAATTCCTAACAAAAGCATAACAACGAATTTCGCTCACTCCCACTCATTCAAAATTGAACAAAAGGACCTTTTTCTTAATTTCATTTTATACGAATAAATTTGCTTGACTAAATAACTATAGACTGTATTCTAACTAAAAGGAAAAGTAAAATTCAATTCCAGTGAATACATTGGGATTCTGGTTACCACTTGTACAATGTCGCATTACCAACCATGTCAAATCATTTGTATACAATTTAACATCCTTTTTATTTATTTTCTTATTATTATTATTATTATTTAGTCCTGTTAAGTTTTCTTTTTTTGGTTCCTTTTCTAGTTCATGTGATTTATGGCTTTTTGCCTTTTTTGGCAGCATATTTAATACAAGCAAGATTGTGCTTGTAGACATTTTAGTTTACAAAATAGTGTCATCTAAAACATAAATACTCTTACTCTGTCCTTAGTCCTTGCTTTTATTGTATTTCAACTCCCCTCCTTCTACACCCCTTAAATTAAAGAAATTCTGTTGTTGCTTTAGTTGTCAGTTGAAACATTTAAAGTTCATACTTGTTCCCATTTAAACGTGTGAGTGTCGTCTCAGCATTTTAGTTTGTCCTGTCTGTTTGTCCGTCATTACATACAAATATTTGTAGGTTTGCAGAAGATTCATTCATTTGATAGTTTCAAATATTTAGTTGCATTTTAAGTAATTGCTGACTTTTGACTTTTAAATGTATTAGTTGTTGTTATTTTTGGGTTTGATATAAGAATTGAATTATTTGTTTTCGATTTAAAAATTAGATATTCAAACCACATGCTGTGATTAGTAATGCTTACATGTTTTTATATCCGTTTCCTGTTTGTTTTTGCATGTTTTAAAAACGAAATATAAATATTTTCTATCTTTTGGATGACAGGAGGAAAGAAGTAGGCGTTTTTTTATCGACATATTGTTTATTACTATTTAAAGTACATAGAAAGTGATACTACTTAATGATAAATAATATTAATAGTAACTGATTTTCGTTAAAAGGTTTGCCAGTTATCGGTTTAAGAACTAATATATATTCAGATTTTACTGGATTACAAATCCATTTTTAAGAAAAACTATAATAGTATTAAAGATTTGTAAGACCCCATATAAAGTGTTATATCCAAAAATACTGAATCTGGAATATAGACTAGACTATAGACTAGACTATAGACTAGACTATAGACTAGACTATAGACTAGACTATAGGCTAGACTATAGACTAGACTATAGACTAGACTATAGACTAGACTATGACTAGACTATAGACTAGACTATAGACTAGACTATAGACTAGACTATAGACTAGACTATAGACTAGACTATAGACTAGACTATAGACTAGACTATAGACTAGACTATATACTAGACTATAGACTAGACTATAGACTAGACTATAGACTAGACTATATACTAGACTATAGACTAGACTATAGACTAGACTATAGACTAGACTATAGACTAGACTATAGACTAGACTATAGACTAGACTATAGACTAGACTATAGACTAGACTATAGACTAGACTATAGACTAGACTATAGACTAGACTATAGACTAGACTATAGACTAGACTATAGACTAGACTATAGACTAGACTATAGACTAGACTATAGACTAGACTATAGACTAGACTATAGACTAGACTATAGACTAGACTATAGACTAGACTATAGACTAGACTATAGACTAGACTATAGACTAGACTATAGACTAGACTATAGACTAGACTATAGACTAGACTATAGACTAGACTATAGACTAGACTATAGACTAGACTATAGACTAGACTATAGACTAGACTATAGACTAGACTATAGACTAGACTATAGACTAGACTATAGACTAGACTATAG